TTTACATAAGATTATTGTTCAACTACATCTATTCAATGAGTCCTAGAATTGTGTTAAAAATTGTTGTTCTGGGAATGGATTTCTGTGGCAGAGTACTGAACATGATCAGGGAACAGGGTTTGATCATCAGTTTTCTAAGCCTTCTTTAGTTAGCTTACTCCCTTAAGTAAGACAATAGACAAAGCTGAATTTCAATCTACATTACTTCAAATATGTTTTATATCGTATGTATTTCCTCTGTGTTTCTGGTAACCATGAACATTGTCTCACTATAAAATCACTATTGGGTGCTATGAAGAGTTGATTCGATTGTGGCTCTTCCAGAAGATCAGATGTCAGTTCCCATATTAGTGGGCTCACACCTGCCTGTCATCCCAGCCTCAAAACATATAACACCTTCTTCTGACCTACACAGGCATACACACCTATACATATAACACACACACACAGAGACATGAATAAAAATGCAGATTTTAAGAAAAAACTGTCACTATTGTAGGACCAGCGAGATAGCTCAGTGAGTCTGGGTGCTTGCTGTCATGCCTCATGGTGGAGGTTGAAAATAGACTCCCACAAATAGTCCTTTGTATACATGGCTGTGCGTGCGCGCAGGCGTGCGCACGTGCACACACACACACACACACACACACACACACACATACACACACACACACACATATACATACAAATAAATAAATAAACAAATAAATGTAAAATATCAATATTACTTGTGAATTGTACATAGGGTTTCCTGGTTAGTTTTTGTTAATTTGACATGAGATAGAAGACCCTCTGTTGACCAAATGCCTCCATCATATTTTGTGAAAACAACTTTGTAGGATACTTTGATTAATGATTGATGTGGGAGGGACCGGGAACACAATGGACAATGCAATTGGTCCTGGATGATTTAAGAAAGCAGGCTGAGACAGTCATAGAGAATAAGCCAGTTAGTGGTGTTTCTCCATGGCTTCTTCTTTAGTTCCTGCCCCTAGGTTCCTGTCCTGAAATTCTACCCTGACTCCCATTCATTATGGACTCTAAGCTGCAAAATGATAAAAATCCTGTCCTCTCTAAGTTGCTTTTCATCATGGTGTTCATCACAGCAATAGTAAACTAATTAACATATCATTAATGTGTTCAATGATTAACAAGAAAAATTTTTGAAGCTACGAAGTTTACAGTATTTATCACTTAATGATGATACGTCCTGAAAAATGCATTATATTGTGATCTACAATTATGTAAATGTCACTGAATAAACTTGCAGAAACTTTGATAGTTGAACCTATGATGCTACTATATGCTACAAATTGTGTATCTTAGACTACACACATGTAGCATGTGAAAGTAAGGTTTTCAGTTGTAAGAAAATGGTACCGTGTATTTCAATATACATAACCATAGCAAAGGTAGTGTAAATGTACTGGGCAAGAGGGGTTTACGACTCCATTGTAGTGTTACAGGACCACAGTCATATCTGTAACTTTGTCATTCATGGAATTCCATGAATTCTCACAGACATATATTCTACATTACATACATAGATTGTGTGTGTGTGTGTGTGTGTGTGTGTGTGTGTGTGTGTGTGTGTGTGTGTGTGTTGCACTTGTGTGTATGTGGGATATGAGTAGACATGTGCTCATTTGTGTGTATATCAGAGCATAACCCTGGTTCTTGTTACATAGGTGTCACCTTCTTTTTGACTGATTGCCTCCTTAGCCTGGAACGAATTAGAAATCTAGGCAGCTGACACAAGAATCCCAGGGATCTGCCTATCTCCATCAGCCTGGCCAGCACTGGGTGGCAGGTGCAAGGAGACTGAACTCAGCTTTAGAATTCAGGCATTCTATTGACTGGGCTATCTTCACAGCACCCAGATTATGGGTTTAAATTTAAAATGGAACTGGAAATATCCATTTGTTTCACAAGCAGGCTATGACATTACATGAAATGTTTGTTTAACTGTTGAATTTGAAACAAAGATTGAACCATACATCTCAAGTATCCCTAACACTACACCTCAGCAAATTTCAAAGTTTTCTCTGATAGCAGGAACTAAAAAACAGCTCCTTAATTTACTATAGATAAGAAGCTCATTAAAAGTTAGAGGTAGCATTTTTAATGACACAAATTAGTTTATACGCTACAATTTTATGAAGTGTTTGGAAAAACAAGCTTGCAGTAGTTTCATGATACTAAGGAATGCTAAGAGGTTAAGAAGACACAACTGGATCTGGGAAACACCTGGTTGCACTAGCTGACATTACTGAGTAGAAAGAAATGATTATCAAATAACCTGTGAAAAAAATTTTAAAAAATCTATGAGGCTAAATATTACAACTCCTTGAGAGTAGGTATGAGAGGAAGAAAATGCTTTAGTTCTGAATTTCTCAACTTCCATTGCACACAGGGCACGTACCCAAAATGCCGAGCATAAGATTTCCTTTGCAGTAAAATGGTGATGTTCATAATTCCTAAGGAGGTTCTTGTGAGAGTCAATATGCTAATGTATGTAAATCGATAACCCATGGAAAAAAATGGTATGTGATGACATCAATAAATTTTTGTAACTCTTTCCATCATTGGAAACAACATACACTTCATCTTTAAGAAAAAGAATTGGGTACTGATCTAGATTAGGACATACTATTTTATAATGGGAAGTCCATGGGGGGAAATCTAGAACATGTAAATTCTTATATGCCTGAGAAATCAGCAACTTTTAAAACAATCAGATTGTATTATAAATCTATGTTGTCTTATCTCACTGTCTTGTTAAGCAATTGCAACTTGTTAACAAACTTTGATGTATGGGATGGTTCATGATTAGAACTCATAGGGAAGGGGTTTCGAGTATCTTAGACTGGTCCTGAACTTGCAATATACTTAAGGATCACCTTGAACTTCTGATTCCCATTTCCATCTGCTATGTGTTTGTATTACATATATGGACCACCATGCATGTTTTATGATGACCTAGGGATTGAACTCACAGATTCGTGCATTCTTGGCAAGCACCCTATCAAATGAGCAGTATCTCACACCCAGTTTCTGCCTTGAGTGATTTTCTTCCTAATATCATATTAAGTTTATTAAATGCATTTCAACTCTGCATAACTCTTTAAAACAAATGAGTTGAAGATAATTGAAACACACTTCAGGTGTATGCAACAAATTCATATAGTATAAAGTAGCTAAGAGGTATGCCTAACTTTGTAACTGTTTATTAGGAAAAAAACAGACAAATAACATGCTAAGAAATACTTTTAAGACCACCAGAAAATTTGATGACTCTCAGAAACTCCAAATGTAGACATGAAAAAAATCATTCTATACATCATTGAAAATTTACGAGAGAAAAGACATATGTGGTAAAGGACATCCTTTTAAGCAAAGGAGTGTGAGCAACTTCTTCTTTCTATTGAAGTGGTTTCTGCTGAGGACATTTCAGAATGCATCTGGCAGAGTCTTTTGGAGTTGTCATCCTCAAGGAAAGCTGATGAAATGCAGGAGACTGAAGACACAGCTGTGAGCTGTTTCAATTTTTTTTTAAAAAATATGAGAAATCCACAATGTGACAATTTATCTCTCCTGTTGTGTTTCAAAATATGAAAATTAGAATATTAATGTAGGTTTTCTAGAACTATTTTAGAAATGAAATGTTGGCTATTGTATATTTTTTCATCAAATGCCTTTCTAGAAATGCATTCTACATACTTCACAAAGAAATCATTATGCAAGCAATATAGAACTGTCTCACTTCAAAGACGGCTTATGCATTTCATTTCTTAAAATATCACTGGTCAACAAAAAATGGTCAGTGGGAGCGTTATACTTTTCACAGAGACCCCTGTAGAGATAACAATATAAGAAACACCACTGAGAGTTCAATTAAATCTATATACCTAAAAGCAGTTTTCAGAACAAAGAATATAAGTACATGAAATTCACTGACTTCTCTCTACTCTGTCATGCTACAATGATTCAAAATAAAATTTTATATTGCTTCATTATTATTTTTAAATTATAATTCCTCTCTCATTGGCCAAAATTCTCTCTATTTTTGAAGAGTGCGCACTTCCAGCTCATGAGTCATGTGCTGTTTCTTGAAATAAGCATGGATAAGCAAGCTCAGAGCTGTCTCTTGGCACGGGAAACCTGCTGATCCCCAGATATATTTTTCTCCTTCTGAGACATCAAAGGAAGTTGGAACCTGGGATTTGTTTATGATCCCAGGTGTTCTCTATCTCTGGGATGAGCTGAATATCTAATACGAGACTATAGGATTTCCTGTGTGACTTTCACTACAAAATCCCATGAATAATTAACCAGTAAGAAAAAAAATCTTTTGTGATTGTGAATCTTCTTTTGGGATAAGAGTCAGAAAATGCTCCATTTTAGATTATTTCATTCTTCATTAATCCTGAAGAAAAAGAAACACATTGCTGCTCTATACCACGGCTGATCTAAAAGCTGCAGACATACTTCTCAGGAAGTATATAAAACACACTTTGAAGTGCTCCTTAATTCATGTCCTCCTGTTATTCTCCAGTCTGCACCCTGTGAATGAATATGCACCTGATTTCCAAAAGGTTGACAGTACATAAAACTTAGACATAATTACTTTAATCACGATTAAAAAAAAAAACAGTTTCAATGCTATTGTGAACATAAGTGTATAAAATTTACTATCAATTTCTACTTGCTCAGTCTTGGAGAGATTCGGAGTAGACATACTACCCCCTCTTTGCTGTTCTATGCATTGTGTGTTCTTGCATTAAAAACATTGTTAATACAGGCATTCTTATACAGAAATGCATCATCCAAATTAGATGCTGTGGGACATTCAATGTGGGAGCAGCCTAAAATTTGTAAATCCCACATCTGTTGCCCTCTTTATATTTACATGATTATTTTATGCCCTCCCAGAGAATTTGTCAGTACATGCAAATTAAAGAGTAATATCTTTTAAAAGAAAAGTATAGGAATATACATACTATAAGGGACACATTCATACTGCACTTCAAGGTATTTATAAGTTCCTGGACATGGGTCTGGAAAAACATCAGGACCTGCCACCACAGCACACTGGGTTCTGTTATTGCATCTGAAATCAAAAGAAATAAAGAAATAGTAAATTTGTGTAAATTTAAATCATCATGAACAGCAACACTGACATTATTTTACTTCCGGTTATGGACACTTAAAGAAGATTTTGCTGACACAGGACTTCAGATTTATTAAAGAAATATCTGCAGTGTGCTTTAAGAATTAAGAGATAAACATCTACTCGCATATTTTGCTCACAGTAACTTATATTTGCTTGAACAGGGCATAATTTTAAGGTAGCAGTTATTGCTGAAGCAATACAATGTCATCCATAAGACATTGGAAATATGAACACATGGGAGGATTATTTACGAGAAAAGACCAACTCCCTTTTCAAAAGCTATACTTAACAGAATACAAAAAAATAGTTCTCAGACTGTTGTAAAACAAATTCAATGGATGTGATAAAATTCACTTTAAATGAGCTAAATGTGATACCCCTTTCCATCCTGAAAAATTCAGTGAAAACACTATTTAAGGTTCAACTAGATGGCTCAGCTGGTGTTTGATGTCAATCAAGCCTGATGAGTTGATTTTGATTCTCAACATTCATCAGGTAGAGGGAGAAATTACTTTCCTGTGACACCTTGGCATGTACAACCATGCACATGTAAGCACATGCACACAAATAAATGTAAAATTCTTAAACCCATCACTTGAATATAGAAATATATTCATTTTGCGTATTTGAAATTAACTACATAAGTAACTACATTTCAAAGAACTGATTCTATGTGTTTCTTTTATTTCATCAAATAATGACACCAACCTCACAGACTGATGTCATTTAAAGTTAGTATTATGTAATTCAAAGGAGTAGCTTCACATTCCCAAAGGGAAAAAAAGCATACTACTATTTTAACAGAAATACAAGTGTGGGTGCATGCACAGTGAATGGATTAAACTGATTTTGGCTGATTTATTCTTGAGGAAAGAATATGTATAATTAAATTCAATTGCCTCTGAAAAAGAATCTAGCTCACAGTGGCCTCATCACTGTACATTTCACTCATAAACTTCTCAGGTTCAGTAATTTATCCATTAGTGAACTATGGCTAATGGGCTCGCAAACCCAAAATATTGGCATGTATGGGATGACCACACTGACTATACTGTTCTTGCTTACTTATTTCAGATATGAAAGATGACTTTAGGGCTACTTTAGGGATAGGTTTTCCTATCACCTTCTTAATACATGCCCAGAAGAGTCATAGGACCTGGACACATAAATGAAAATGTAAGTGCAGACTTCAGCCTGAGTTAGAGTAAAACATGTATCTATTTAAAGCTAACACGTTTCAGGTTTAATGAGGATTTATTTAGTCACAAATTAACATGGAATCATCATTGAATGGCTCAAGCTGAAATTTTTTTTGTGTTATGAATCAAAGATAAACTCAAATAAAAAAATAACATACTAATCCCAGCACTTAACACAAAGAGTTCACAAACACTAATGGTCTCCCCTCTAGATGTGACACTTGCTCTCTTGACCAGGCTACAGTAGCTTAATATTAAAGTAAATGTGTGTTCTTTAACATGAAGGGCAATGGCACAGTGTGCCTTCATAGCCTCAAGAAAAGAAACACTGCTTCCCTTTTACAAAGAAAATCCAATCACAGACTATATCACATTAAATTATGTGACATTTATAGCTAAAACAATACAATGTTCACATATTACAAATACAGATTATTTACCTAAACTGAAAAAAACTTTAAACAGCCTTCACTCATAATTTTAATTACCCTTTTATCCTATGTCATGTACATCAAAGATGAGCTTGTAGCAAATAAGACAGTACATGTGAAGAAGTAAAAAAAATCTAAAAATACTATGAGCATATATGCACCATGTCTTATGTAAAACAGCATTACCATATAATATCTGCTGGTAGAATAATTTACTATTTCAGTACAAAGTGCTCAAAATATCAAAGGAAGAAAAGCATGTCCAAATCTGTAAAATGTTCTCTTTATCTAAGATATATTATAATCTTTGTATAAATTACACCATAATCATAGTACTGAGTGTTTAAATGTTTTGAAGACAAGCTAGATTCGAAAAACAAAATTTATAGACATCTTTACTTCAGTTACTGTAAATCAAAGGGAAATTAATTTCAATATTAAGTCAAAATTTTTAACAATTTCTATGCTTACAGTAATTTTAAAATCATATGTACTATATACAAAATGAAATAAAATAATCCAATGTTCTTATGCACAAAACTTAGATGTTTCATTGTTTATTTTTAATATAAATCTTAGATGTTTTATTTACTTTTTATTATAAATATAAATTGAAAATGATTTTAAGTATTCTTTAAATCTTATACTACAAATATTTTTAAAATCACAAAAAGATAATAAAAAATATTGCAATAATATGTTCAAATACACTTTTACCACAAATAAAAAGAAAGCACCCTAATATTGAAATACATGGATTATGTACATTGATATAACTTGCAGTATTATTTTCATTAGATATTCTATGTGAAAACCATCTCTACTCTAATATTAATGGCTTTAGAAGCTGATATTAATAAATGTCAGGTAGAATTCTGAAAGATAAAAAGAAATTAAAAATCCACCAAGACCAAACCAACCAACTAACCAAACACAAAACAACAACCCAAAACTCCCAAAGTTGGAGTTTTAGCAAACATGTCAATGGGGTTGTTATTTTATTTTATCACAGCGTTGGTGAGCCTATTACAAAAACATCTTAGGTATAAATTTGGTTGTTGTTTTTGCCAGTATTATTATCGTTACCTTGAGTCAGTAGTTTCAAGACAGGATTCTAGTCAAGTAAATGGGCACATTAAAAATAACCAAACAATTCAAGCATCATATAAATTCTCTTGGTTGAGAATAGAAACAGCAGAAAACATTGCCACATAAAGGTATGGAACTTCACCCATAAAACCTCAATAATTTGGCTTTCTATGTGATCTGAGCAAGGACTATTAGAATCACTAACATGAATGAACAAAACCACAGGAATCTCACTTCTACACAGAGAACACCAGGCAACATGGAATAGCAGAAGCAGGAGAAATACTCTTCCTGAGTGTTGAGCAAACCAGTTGTTTATCCAATACCAAGAGGTCAGCTCTGAATTCATATACATCCAAGCAATACTAAACAGATTCAGCAGGTAGTATTTACATGCATGTTTTTATGTGTACTATGTGACAATAACAACTGCATAAAAAGGTCATGAATTTGAGAGGAAGCAGATGGGGTATGTGGGAGACTCTGGAGTGAAGAAAGAGATGGGGAAATGATATAATTGCATATTAATCAAAAACAACCAAGCAAAACTGTAAATGTGAAAGTAAACATACAAAATAAAGCCATGTAAAGATGAAGACCAAAAATCAAGCAAAAAAGCAAAACAAAACTTGTAAATACAGGACAAGTCCTTGCTCACATGCAAAGTTCTTTAATTTACATATTCTAGGAGAAATTCAAGGTTTTTAGTAAAAATCCCTTCTTCTGGTAATCTAAACTTAGAAATGTTCATATTTATCCTGTATGGCGTTACTTTTAGTATATCTCATTTTGCCAGTGTATCAATGAATGAAGCTGTATATGTTTAGGATATACACTGTTATCTTCTAATGTTTGTGCAAGTCATGAAATGATTCCACCTATATCAAGACTATTAGTATGTGATCATCTAACAGAGTCACATATTTCTTTGAAGAAATAGTGGTCTACTCTCATTGAATACCATGTTACAGACACAGAGGTAACTGTCCTCCCTAAGACCTCATAGCTTACCAGAGACTGACCAGATGAGGGTGTGGTAGCCAGTAAGAAGATGAGGTGACTACAGAATGGGTTTGCAGCAGACAAACAACAACATCTGAATTATACTCTCAAGAGGCTTCCTCCAACTGTGGCCATTATTTCATATTCAGAAGAAACCATGTTCCAAAAGCTGTTTTTTTTCCCTGAATTGATTACTTCACATTATGAAAAAAGTTAATACTTTACAATTTGTACTAAAATTGATACAATGCCACTTTTATAGCTGCTGTTTCTCTGTAAGATTCTGCCATAGATTTTAAAATACATTTTCTTTGTACTTAAAGGCACACATATATTTTTTCAAGTACTGATTCCATTTCTATATAAATGTACAGGTTCTAGACACCTAAGGTATCTGGTACAATGTCAATCTAAAACCTTATGTCCAGGAAACCATTGCATACCACTTGTAAATGTCTCCTGTCTCCCACCGAAAGTTTCACATTTTTTCTCAGTATTTCAGTCTATGTTCTACATTAGGGAGAAGCCTAAGAAAATGGGAGTAGAATCTATGGAAGAGCCTACCCAGCCTATTAACTTCCAGGCCTGCTTCAGTAGCACTGTGACTAGGATGACAGGAGAACCTCATGTCTGACTTTACAAAGGTCCCAGGGATCCAAACTCAGATCCTCAAGCTTATAAGACAAGGACCTACTGACTGAGCCATCTCTACAGTCTTATTATTTCTTCACTTGTAGAGTGCTTAATTAAAAGCAGCAAAATTTCCAAACTTTGTAATAACTAGCAACCAAACATTGTAAGTCAAATGTGTTGATAAATTCCTGAGTAGTGCTTACTATTTACTTAATTATTTGGCTTAATTAGGAGAGTGTTTGAGGTTGACATAGGCAAGCAATATTTTCATGTATCCTTTCCATTTAATTAATCATTTGAACTAACAGTTGTTGAAAAACAAATAAAATATGAAATATGTAAGGCCATGTTTTGATTATTTATATGTATAAATTGTCATTATTTTGATGTTTAAAAGCAAAAGATAGCCTAATACAAAATACAATCCAAAAGGAGGTAGATAATTTGTAAGTGATAAGAGTTTAAACCATTTTATATTTACTGCTTAAATTAAATGTAAATGATAATGAATAATAAACATGACTGATCTAAAAATTAAGTATTTAACTAGGAATTCTAACTATTTTAAATAACTTTATAGGTA